ATTTTTTATATAATTTTACTTATCATTAAAATAATTAATTATTTTATTTAAATAATACATGTGTTATTAAATGCATCTATTCATTTAATTACTTACATTTAATAATACGTAAAAATTTTATAAAAAAAATAATACAAAAAAAATTATCTCCATATCATTATCTATTTTTTACACCAGTCTTGTCAAACCGGTTAACCGGATTTATTTGGTCTAAATTTTAAAACAAGTGGTAAAAACCATCTCAAACACAACACTACGAATATTCATCCCCTTAATTGAAAATGAAAAATCTCTAAAACCTAGTCTAGTGAGATAACTGCTCTCAACTTATGAGCAACTAGCTGACCAGATATTACTTGAGACCTTTGATCCACTCGAAATTTAGCTCTCTCTTTTTTTTTTTTTGGTTTATTTATGCTTTGAATTTTGTTCACCAATCAGCAATTCGCATTTAATGTATCGGCTAGAAGTTCCTTTTGCGCCTTTTCTCTTTCATCTCTTATAGCATTACTTTGGATTTCTAACCCCCTAAAATAGCTTTATTTTTTGTTGACCAGGTTTCCTGCACCAGCTGAGGAAGATCTATATCCAAATATTAATTATGTCCTTCAATTCGCTTTCTCGTTGACTCGAGGCAGAAGTAATCTGTTCTCCTCAGTTGGCTAATTAAGCTCCTCTCATAAGAAAAAATCAAGCTGTTGCTACTTCTAATTTGCTCGGCTTTGTTCTGGTATCAGTGTCCAACTTCATTCAATTTCTTTCTGCTAAACCTGCCACAGGTACACAGTACACTAGCTATCTTTGAACTTTCAATCTTGATTTTGATATATACGTTCGATCTCATTAGAGTTTATGTAAATAAATTGAAAATATCTATTAGTTTTCATGTAGATCCATGAGCTTAATTATTACAAAAGAGAAAAGAAGCTTCATTTCATTTTTTTCCTTTTTAATGGTACGAAGCTTCATTTCTTGTTAGATTTCTCATTCCACAAATAAATACACTACCT